ATGTGAATTGTTAAAATTGTTTGGTTTTGCTGGTAGTGACCCATACACAACAGGATCTAGGGGTGGGTGGGTTGGAAATGAACATGGAGGAGTCATCACATTCTGAAATTGTTAATTGTTGAGTTCTGAAGGGTGTAAAGTACCTGGGAAGAAGATGAGATGTTGTTCTTCCAGCTTGTGTTGAGCTTTGCTAGATCACTGCAGCAGGCTTGAGACAGAAATATTGACAACATGGTGGTGTATTGAAATGGCAGGCAAACTGGAAGCTTAGAGTCATTTTTATAGACAGAGCATGGGTGTTTGGCAACGTGGTCACTCAGTTTGTGTTTTGTATCCCTAGTGTGAAGGAGACCACACTGTGATCAGTTGAGACAGTAGATAGGAACAGGAGTAGGCCATTCAGCCCCTTGAGCCTGTTCTGCCATTCAGTGAGATTGTGGCTGATTTGTGGCCTAACTTCATTGGCCTTTGGCCCATATCCCTTAATACTTTTGCTTAACAAATAATTACCTATCTCAGATTTAAAATTAATAACTGATCTTGCATCCACTATCATTTGTGGAAGAAAGTTCCAAAAGTCTTTCAATTTTCGAGTGTAGAAATGCTTCCTAATATCTTTTCTGAATGGTCTCACCCTACTTCTCAGACTAGCCGTCTAGTTCTAGAATCCACAACCAGTGGAAATAGTTTTTCATTATCCCCCCTGTCTTTTTCTGTTAATACCTTGAAAATTTCAATCAAATCACTCCTTAACCTTCCAAACTCTAGGGAGAACAGGCCCAATGTGTGTAATCTGTCCTGATAATATAACCCCTGAAGCGCAGGTATCATTCTTGTAAACCTATGTTATACTCTTTCATAAAGCCAATGTATCCTTCCTAAGTGTGGTGCCCAGATCTTCTCATAGTACTGCAAGTGAGGTCAACTAGGGGTTTGTATAATTGCAGCATAAATTCTGCAACCTTTACTTCAGTGCTCCAGCTATAAATGCCAGCATTCCATTAGCTTTTTTGATCACCTTCTGCAGCTATTTGTGACAGTTTAAAGATCTATGCACCTGAACCCCCAAGTCTCTCTGGGCACCCACTAACTACATACAATTTAGAAAGTACTCTGTTCTATCTTTTTTTGGTCCAAACTGGATATCCTCACACTTGCTTACATTGATTTCCATCTGCCACAGTTTTGCCCATTCATGTCATCTATTAATATCTCTTTGGTAATTTTATGCTATCGTCTAAGATCATTAGACCATCAAATACAGGAACAGAATTAGGCCAGTTTCCCTATTGAACCTGCTGTGCCATTTGATCATGGCTGATATGTTTCTTAACTCTATCCTCCTGCTTTCTCCCTGTAACCCTAGATCTCCTTACTAACCAAGAACCTATCTATCTTTGTCTTAAATACACTCAATGACTTGGCCTCCACAGCCTTTTATGGTAATGAGTTCCACAGATTCACCACCCTCTTACTGGGGGTGAAGAAATTCCTCCTCACCTCAGTTCTAAAGGGTTGTCCCTTCACTCTGAGGCTGTGCCCTCAGCCCCAGTCTCTCCTAAGAGTGGAAACATCATCTGTATGTCCACTCTATCCAGGCCTCTCAGTATTCTGCAAGTTTCGGAGATCCACCCCACCCCCATCTTTCTAAACTACATCGAGTACAGAGCTCAGAGTCCTAAACCATTTCTCATATGATAAGCTCGTCATCCACGAGATCGTTCTTGTAAATCTCCTCTGGACCCCCTCCAATGCCTGCACATCCTTCCTTAGAACAAGGCCCAAAGCTGCTCATTATATTCCAAATGCGTTCTGACTAGAACCTTATGCAACCCCAGCTGTATATCCCTGCTCTTGTATTGCAGTCCTTTCAAAATGAATGCTAACACTCCATTTGCTTTCATAACTACTTATTGACCATGTGTGTTATCTTTAAGTGAATCCTTAACGAAGACTCCCAAGTCCCTTTGTACTTAGATTTTTGAAGCCTTTCCCTGTTTAGAAAATAGTTTACATCTCTATTCTTCCTACCAAAGTTCATCATACTTTCCCACATTATATTCCATCTGCCTCTTCTACTCTGCTCGTCTGTCCAAGCCCTTCTGTTGCCTCCCGCCTCTTCAACCTGTTCTTCCACCTATCTTTATGTTTTTGTATCTTAGCAACAATACCCTCAGTTCCTTCATCCATATTGTTAATGTATAAAATGAATAGGTGTGGTCCCAATACTAACCCCTGCAGAACTCCATTAGTCACTGCCATCCTGAAAAAGACCGTTTATCCTTCCACTGTGCCTTCTGCCCATCAGCCATCCTCTATCCATGCTAATACCTTGGGCCGAACAGCATAGGCTTTTATCTTATTTAGTAGACACCGATGCAGCAAACCTTGTCAAATGTCTTCTGGAACTCCAAAAAATCATGTCCATTGTGGCTCAGAGATAGTAAGAATTGCCGATGCTGCAGTCAAAGAACAGTGTTGAGCTGGAGGAACACAGCAGGTTAGGCAGCATCAGAGGAGCAGGAAAGCTGACGTTTCAGGTTAGGACCCTACTTCAGAAATTTTCAGAAACCATTTCTGAAGAAGGGTCCCAACCCAAAACGTCAGCTTTCCTGCTCCTTTGATGCTGCCTGGCCTGCTGTGTTCCTCCAGCTCCATACTGTGTTATGTCCATTGGCTCTCCTTTGTCTAACTTGGTAATTACTTCCTCAAAAAGTTCTTTGCCTTTATCAAGCATCATCTCCCCTTGACGAAGCCGTGCTGATTCAGCCCTATTTTACCATGCACTTGCACGTACTCCGCAATCTCGTCATTAATAATGGACTCTAAATTCTTACCAAAGACTGATATCAGGCTAACTAGTTTATAATTTGCCGCCTTCTGCTTCCCTCCCTTCTTATTCAGGAGTACTACATTAGCCATTATCCAGCAGAACATCTACATTCTGCTTGCAAAAAAGACCCTGAACTACCTGTTGCCTGCCACTTTAATGCACCACCCTGCTCCCTGGCCAACATCTCTGTCTCGGGCTTGCTGCAGTGTTCCAGCGAACCTCAGTGCAAGCTGGAAGAACAACACCTCTTTTTTCTGCTTAGGGACCCTGCAGCCCTTCGGACTCAATATCAAGTTCAATAATTTTAGGGCCTAAACTCTCCTATGTCTCAGCCCCCTACCCCACACACCAGGCCTTGTTACCACATAGCCTGCCATTACACACTACCTGTTGTTAGTCACTCATAGTCCCCATTAACAACTATTCACCTCCCAGTCTGATCATAATCAACTCTTTGTCTATCCAACTGCTCTTCCATCTCTTTAGGATCTATCCTATCGTTTACTCCCTACCCCATCCCTCTCCCTTTTTTCTGAATATAAACTGATGCTTTCCCAGACACCATCAGTTCTGAGGAAGGGTCCCTGAACACGAAATGTTAACTCTGTTTGTTTCTTCACAGATGCTGCCAGATCTGCCGAGCTTTTCCAGCAACTTTATTTTTGTTCATAAATATGATTTCCTTGATTGGGGCTGTTAATCTGGTCCAATCAGGGATCCATGTCTGACAGATTAGAACAGGTGTGTCACACATCCTCACACTCTGAGAGCTAGCTCTAAGGGAGCTAGGTCAGTGTCAAGGATTGTCAATGTGTAAATAAAGGGTGACTTGGTGACAGGATATCGGCCTCTGTGGAGTTATTTCAGTGGTAGCTGGAGTAAAGCACACCCCTGAAGAAATTAGCTTGCAACAATTATCTTTGGGTTGGGGTAAGCCTTTCTGGCATTGTGCCATTATTTGGGAAGTTTGACACGTTCAATCCTGTCGTCAAAGTCTGGGCCCAGTAGTGCAAGGAAAGTGTTATTTTTGCAGGCAAATGACATTGGGGCAGATGAAAAGCAATGAGTAATTCTCCTGACAGCTTGTGCTTATGAGGAGCCTAATATTTCTTAAGGCACCAGATACTAAAATCTTTCAAGAGTTGATGAATTTAGTTAAGGAATATATGACCCCAAGCCTCCTCTAATTCTGAGACGCTATAATTTTAACTCATAATTCAAGACTCAGGGGAATCAGTACCAGGATTTTTGTGTAGGTTATGGTGACTAACAGAGGCATGTGACTTTGGTCATTAAGGGTTCATAATGAGATGCTGAGAGACCATTTGGTACGTGGGATTAATTACGTAACCATGCAAAAGCACCTACTAGCTGAAGCCCAACTGGACTGGAGACAGGCACTACAACTGACTTTGTCATTGGAAAACTCAGCAAATGGATCATATGAGTTGCAGACTATTCATTTGGAAGTGGACACCCGCATCAGTCAGACTGAACTTGGGGAAACACCACCTAAGTGCAGGTAATTTCATTGCTTCACTCAGGACATATCCCGAATAGAGGAACTCTAGGTCTGTCCACAGCAAAACCCCAAAACAAAGACAAGCCTTGGCCAAAATGTTAACATTTTCTTCAGGATCCAGGCCAGCAAGCCATTGTATTTGTTACAGGTATGCAGACTCGAAACAGCAGAAGAATCTCACTAAACCTAAATTGAGCAAGAGAACCAATAGGCTGGTATCCAGGAGAGTGCACACCCTGGAAAGTCCACCTACATCTAGTTTGGAACAGTTAAACTGCTTAGCAACATCAAAATAAATGTCTGGTTAAATGGTCATCTGGTTGTAATGGAGGTCAGCACTGGCATGGTCATTTCAATGATTGGAGAACCAGTCTTTAACAAAATTCGTTCTGGACTCTAATGCTTAAGTTTATGCAAGACTAGCACCCATACCAGAGAATCTTTATAGATTAAGGGTACAACTTTGATTCCAGTCTCACGTGAGAAGCAGCTGGTTCATTTACCACTAGTTGTAGTAAACGGCTCGGGCCCAAGCTTGTGTGGCAAAATTGGTTGAGAAAGATTCACCTCCATTGGCTGAGCTTCTTTGATTAGAAAATGGGCTGCGTGAGTGAAGTTCTAAATAAATATTTGGATGTCTTTCAGGAAGATCTAGGGACTATCAAAGGAGCGAAAGCTACTATGTCGACCAGGAAGCAATTCCACGATTCTGCAAGGGCCTCCCAGTGCTATTTACTTTATGGACAAAAGTAGAGGCAGAAATCAGAAGGCTGGAAAGTGAATGAATCATCAAAACCAGTCCAGACTGCAGAACAGGCAGTACCGCTTGTACTGATTGACAGGTCGGTTCACCTTGGTGGGGATTTTAAACAAATGGCAAACAGCAGCTGGATAAATACCCAATCCCTTGCATAGCAGATTTATATACAAAGCTGGCAGTGAGGCTGCCCTTCACAAAGCTGGACACGAGCCATGCAAACGTGCAATTGGGGTTAGATGAGGATTCCCAAAGGTACACTGCAATTAATACTCATAAGGATTTGTACCAATGTACGAGACTGCCACTTGGGATATTGTCAGCCTGTGCAATTTTTCGCTAGGCAATGGAGAACATTTTATAAGGTCTACCTCAGGTTGCCATCTATCTAGTTGACATGCTATTAACAGGGAAGGCCAATAAGGAGCACTTAGAAAACTTGGACATAGTCCTTAGAAGTTTCTCTCAAGTGGGTATATGTTCCAAAGCGAGATCTGGTATTGACATGCAATGCCTCCCCATATGGCATCAGGGGAGGTCAGAGTTGGTTTTGCTATAATGGGTATTCCAGCATCGCAAATTGGCTATAACATGACTGAGGAACAGGGGAATGCTATTTCTAAAACACGAGCTTGTGTTGGCTATAACGCAATTTTATCGGTGCATGGAGGAGTATGTGTTGACATCACATGTTTAACAGGCTTTGTCCTGAATACGTGCAATGTTAGTGCCGAAAGAGTCTCCACGCTGGCATCATGTGATCATTTTGCAGACTTTATTGTGAAGCCCTTTCTATGAGAGGTACAGTACTCAGTGATTTTTGGTTTTTTTTGCAAGTTCTGCCGTGTTACACACAAAAACGCAAAGACAAAGTGACAAGAATGTTAGCAAGAAGCACCCTGGTGATAAAAGTCTGGGTGGTGAACATAAAAGAAAAGCTATTACACTGGAAAAGAAGCTAAATATTATAAAGTGTTTGGAGCGTAATGAGACAACATGTGATATAGTTTGCATTACAGGAATAAAGGAGTCTACCTTATGCACCATTAGAGACAATGCAGAAAAGATTAAAGCAAGCTATATTTACTAAAAGTCTGAGTGCTAGCAAATCTGTGAGGTCACGGACAAAGGAACTTGAGGAAATGGAGTGGCTTCTAAGTGTGTGGATAGAAGATCAAACGAAGAAATTATCTGGGCCCACCTTTCTCGCCATAAAAGAGAAAGCCTTATCAATTTATGAAGATCTAACAAAAGAAGCTGAAAATCCCACAGATGTTCCTGCCTTTAGTGCTAGTTGTGGCTGGATTGCTAGTTTTAAGAACCGTTATGCTTTTCATAATGTAAAGTTATATGACGAAGCTGCCAGCACAGACAAGGAGCATGCGATGGCATTTCCTCCCATAGTAAAAAAAATTAATTGACAAAAAAAGCTACAATTTAGATCAGATTTTCAATTTGGATGAGACTAGATGCGAATGCCATCAAGAATCTACATTTCTATGGATGAAGCACATGCTCCAGGCTTTAAGGTGGAAAAGTATCATATGAATGTGCTACTGGGTGTCAATGCCAGTGAAGACTTAAAGCTTAAGCCTGCGGTGGTATACCACTCTGCCAGGCCGCGAACTTGGAAGATTACCTTAAGTCTACTCAAGATGTTTACTTTACGTCAAGAAAAAGAGGTTGGATGATGGGGCAATTTTTTTCTGACCATATTGTTGACATTTGGAAGATGTTTTTAGAAAGTGTTGCAGGAAAAAAAAATTGGATTTCAAGATTCTCTTCATCCTGGATAATGCGCCAAGCCATCCTCCCACCATTGTTGAGCTTTCTGAAAACATCAAAATGCTATTTCTACCCCCAAACACAACCCATGGACCAGGGTACAATAGCAGCTGTTAAAGCTTATTATTTAAGGTGCACATTTAAGAGGCTGATTGCAGCCACTGGGGGGGATAAGGACAGTGTTCTTCAATTTTGGAGAAGTTTTAACATCAAAGATGCAATTGGCATTATCGTGGAGGCCTGAGGTGATGTCAGTAAAGAGTGCTTGCATGCAGTTTGGTGGAAGCTTCTCCCAGACTTTTTTCAAGATTTTAAAGGCTTTGATCTGTCAGAGGAGCTCCCAAGAATCAAAGAACATTGTTGGTGCTATTGCAAAGCAAGTTAGATTTGAAGAAGTGGAGAGTGAGGATGTTGAAGAGCTGCTGTGAAGACCTCTCTACAGCTGATCTACAACAACTTATTGCTGAGGGGGCCGTAGAAACTGCAGATGGAGAAGATGAAGTCCAGGATGCAGCACCATGAGAGCTTTCCACCTCTGTTTTGTCTTCTATCCTGAGGGAAATTGAGAAGCAGTTGCAGCTCTTAGAGGACAATGATTACAATGCAGAACACAGCAGGGTAGTAGTTTGTGGAATAAGATCTTATTTGGCACCCTATGAACAATGAAAGAAGAAAAAGGGCAAAGCAGCAAAAACTGGATGCCTTTTTGAAGCCAACCCCCCAAGAAACAGAAGACAATGAAACACAGCCATCCACTTCTGGATTGACAATTTTTCACCCATAACCCTGCAACCACAACTGCACCTGAAGGTGATGATGATGATGATGATGAAAACCCTCAGCCTCTGCATTAACAACAGAGCAACCTCAAAACCTCCTCCCCCATCAAATCATCTTGACATTTTTTCAAGGTAAGGTGTTAAATTCACTTTTATTTCATCATTAGATATGAATTAAACATTTATTCAAACTGTGCTATCCTTTGTGTTAGGCTTTTGAGTGATTTTTGAGCAATTTTGAGTGATTTTTTTTGGTGGCCTGCCCCTAACCCCACTTTTCCCATAGGCTCTGTTATTTCTATAGTGTGATTTTCTATAACGTAACGTTGCGCAGGAATGCAGCTATTGCGTTATAGCAGAACCAACTATATTAGCTCATAGGTGACTCAATGAAGAGAAATGTCCAAAAGCATATGCATCCAGGACTTTGGATAATGCAGAGTGTAAATACGCCCAGATAGAGAAAGCAGGTTTGGCAATCATATTTGGAGTCAGGAAGTTCAACCAATACCTTTTCAGACATAAATTTGTAATAATAATTGACCATAAGCTCCAAATAGGTCTACTGAAAGGGGACAAGGCAGTGCCACCCATAGCTTCAGGCCAAATTCAGCGGTGAGCTCTATTGCTAATTGTGTGTAATTATGAGTTAGAACACCATCCGGGTAGCCAATTAGTGAATGTGGATGCATTGATGCTCCTCCCACTGGCAGATACACCACCAGTGGTACCGCCACTGGAAGAATCTGTAATGGTTTTGAATTTTCCGGACACACTTCCAGTCACAGCTGACAAAATCAGACTTTGGTCACAGAAAGATCTGGTCCTGGCAAAACTGAACAGCAGTTAGTGATGGGGGAAAGCAAAGAGCTGTCACAATTAGAATTGAAACTTTTTTTGGATCCGGAGAGACCAGATCATAGTATAGGACAACATATTATGGGGAGCAAAAGTGATTGTTCCAAGCAACAGCCATCACCAGATACTGGCTGAACTCCACCAGGATTATCCAGGGATTTCCAAAATGAAAATGTTGGTGAGAAGTCATGTCTAGTGGCCAGGATTGCATCAGACATATCCGTGTTGTTGGAGCAGTGCCCAGAGTGCCAAATAGGTCAATAATTACTGCCAGCAGCTCCCCCACATTTGTGGGATTTTCTGGGTAAAGCCGAGACTTGGTTACAAGTTGACTATGTGGGTCCTTTCATGGGCGCAATGTTCTTAGTCATTGTGGATGTCCATTCAAAGTGGTTGGACGAGCATAGAAATCATTCGTCGAACACGGGGATGATGATAGAAAAACTGGGTACATCTTTTGCAATACACAATCTCCTGGAAGTGTTGGTCACAGGTAATGGACAGATAATTTACTAGCAGGGAGTTTGGTCATTTCCTAATGCCATTCGACATATAAGGACAACTCCATACCATCCATCATGCAATGGTTTGAGAGAAAGAACAGTCCAAACTTTGAAGGCAAGCTTAAAGAAACATCCTCCAGCTTCACTAGATACCAAACTGTCCCGGTTCCTATTTGATTATAGTATCACCCCTCATGCAAGTATAGTGATAGCTCCAGCAGAGTTGCTAATGGGGAAAAGACTTCACACCAGGTTAAATCTGATCTTCCCACATCTGGGTGGGGGGGTGGTGGTGGTGGTGTGGTGGGTGAAATGGCATCAGGAGTGCCAATGCCTGATACGAGACTCTGCTAAGTGAGAGAGACTGTTGACTTCAGGGGCCGAAGTTTGATGTAGGAACCATAGGAATAGCCCTGCATGGGTAAGAGGCATGGTCAACGCAAGATCAGATCCAGTGACATATACCATTTGAGGAGGTGCGACAGTCCTGAACAAGCACATAGACCATATGAAAGCTGCAAACTTGCAAACAAGGCAGCAGCAAAACATGCCCAGCTCCTCAGAACAGTTGGAAAGACTGGCAGAACACATAAAGTTTCCCACTATATCAAGCATTGAAGAGACCTTGGAATATGAGATGGATATGGCAGATGTTGCTGCCTCAATGCCTTTGCCACCTGAAGAAGAGAGTGAACTTCTTTCAAGATATTCTGGGTGCAAGAGGCGAGCTACTGTGCATTACATTCAGCCTGTATCAAAGGAAGCTGACCCAGTGCTAAAACATCCCAGGAGAAGTTACAAAGAAAAAAACTGGCCTATGTCCTAGGACTCTGGGGAGGAATATAATGATTTATAATGAGGTCAGCCAGATGGATGCCATAAAATACAGTTCCCTGATTGGGGCTAGTAATCTGGCCCAATCAGGGAGCTCTGGCTGAGATAAAAACAGGAATGTCAGCCATCCTCACACTCTGAGAGCTGGCTCTGGGGGAGCTGGATCAGCGTCAAGGATTTATGACATGCAAATAAAGCATGACTTGGCCATGGGAAACCAGCCTCTGTGGAGTTACTTCTATTGCCACCTAGTCTATGAAGGCAGCCATTTGCTTGCATGTTGGAGCCATGATAGCAGATAGAGCTTTGCCAGTTTTCTCTGCCCT